GTAAGCTCATATGATTCATCGACACCTAATTCTAATTCTGAAATATCAGTAGTAATTGAAATGATCAGAACACTTAGCGTGTTTGATTTGTCTATGCTTTCTGGAACGATAGGATTAACATTTGGTGCGGTATAATTTTCGAATGTTATGGACTTTAGAAAGCGCTTTTTAGCAGATTCAAGAATTTTTTTTGTTTTGGTATGGAGTAAGGAATCAGTTTCAGGAGCTTGTTTTAGTGAAAAATCTGGAGAGATTGAGAGGGTTTTTGAACCTTTTTCCCAGTATTGAGGAAGAGGCCAGAGCGCATTTACACTTGATATAATATAAACCGATAATATGATAAATTCTAAAACTTTTAGGATCATTGTCTTATGAATCGATAAAAATCTAACTTCATAAGTTAGTGCTGTTAGCTAAAACCCTGTAGATTTATATATTTAAATTTTTAATGTATCGGACTTATAAAAAAATTTCGGATTTGAAAAATCTAGGTTTTTATTTGGCGGCCATCAGATATATGTAGTGTCACCTACCAAAATGAACCTGCCATTTATTTCTTCCGACAATTGTTTCCCCGAGTCAGGGAAGCGAAATATTTGAGAAGTATTGTGGAAATGACGATTCGTGCAATCATTCTACACCACGGGAATGTCTTCTATACATGGTCAAGGGGATGTATTAAATGAACATGAAGGATACAATATTATTCGTGCTACTATTGAGGTACGTACGTACGTATTTTATATATACAAATCTTAATTTACAGTATAAATCGGCAAATCGTTATATTTGCTATATATGGCGCTGAATGCTGTACGTATTTGACAATAAAAATAGTATAACTTTAAAATGTATCAACTTTTTATAGAAGCAATATTTTTAAGAGCTATTTGAAAATTTTGCTTTTTAATAAATTATACGTAGCACATTTAAAATTGAACCATATGGGCTAGGTGTTGAGAAAAGGCAAATTTTTTTGAGCCTAACTAATTTAAAATTAGTCTAGAGACATTTTTCACTTAAGGAACAAATGCTATTATCTTAATAAAATTTTGCAGTATAATCCTTTAAAGTTTTGATTTTATAATTTATTATAGGGTTAAGGTACATTTCAAGACCAAGACAGGGTTGGATATCATTGCCCGAAATTTGACAAGACGTAGGATCGATTTTCCGGTCATGTGATTTTTCGAGGTTAATAGTCTTCGAACAAAACGGCACATTTATGTTAGGGTTTGTGGTTAGAAAGAAGGGCCTAATAGTAAAATTGCGCAAGGAATTTTTTTTATTAGAATTCCAAAGGTGGTTTACTAATAGATCCTGATTTTTAATTGGTCAATTGATCTCGGAAAATCACGTGAACGGAAAATCGATCCTACGCCCTGATGTTTCATAGCCCGGATTTTAGGTTACACGAGGTTTTCAGGGTTCTGAACATTTTTGACCCCTGTTTCTGAGATATAACACAGGGACCTGCAATAATTTGGATATCAAATTGTAAAAATTTATTTGGGTATCGACCGAAATTTGGATAAATTTGGG